AAACCAGTTCAATCATGAAACAACAATTTAATTTTCCAACAGTTCAGGGTAGGGGAACATTTATAAAAATATGTAGCATGAAACTACTCACCTGAAACGAAATAATATAATCCTCGAATCGAATAGAGTATAAAAGTCCAACTAGTGCCCTGAACCAAGTATAAAAACTACACGTCACAACTAATTTAAAAATACTAAAAAAATAGGAACTAAGTAACCTCAACTAGAGCGCACTAACACGGCTCAACCCAACTCACCGTTACTCTTAAATATTACCTAAGTTTATGTTCTTCAAGGTTTAAAATCACCCAAGACATGGGTTCCGGTCAAAACTTAATTAATTGTGAGTTTAAGATAAAACAGAGTTTTAAACAAGCCTTTCCAACCTATTCGCTAACTTTGAAAATTACAAAACCCACTCCACGCTATTCGAAAAATTCCAATAACCTCCAGATATGATCTAATATATCCTAAGTTTCAAACCCAATTGGTTTCACTTGATTTGCTTATCAAAATAATTATCTACAATTTATTATATCCAAACAGGTTGTTTTCTGCCATGATGCTTCGTCAACAAATCCATCTCCAAAATCACATCAAAATCCTTCACCTCTAAGGAAATCAAATCCACCAGAACAATCCTACCATCCAAGTTTACCTCACAAGATCTACAGACATCTCCCAACACTACTATTTCTCCTAATGGAGTAGACAGAGCAATACATGCATCCAAAGGCTCACAAGGAATAGACAATCCAAATAGATATCTAGGTACTTACTCTTAACCTTCAAAATGAAATCAAGAAAGATTCAACACTAGTTTAAACAAAACTAACTCAACATCTACTGTAAAAATTTCAGTTCAAAATTCCTCCGTTTGATATGATTCCTCAAAATTTAAAGTTTATGTTTTTAGGATCAAGAATTTCCATCCACCATTGCAACCCAAACCTTCCCAGCAACCCATTTACACAAGAAAATCCATTATTAAATACTAATACCTCTCTCTTTAACTCCTTCACAGCATAACCAAACCACCAATTAAATATAAAGAAATAATAAAACACACACCTGCATACCCAACAATTTCTTTGCCACAGATGACCACTCTTACGCACAAACCAACCGAGATACACATGTGATATATTTGACTACCCAATTAACTCTATTGTTACATTAGTATAAGTATGTATGTAGGTATATCTATATAGAATAATCCCAAAACAAACCAGCCACACAACCCTCACAACGGCACAAGGAATTAAATAAAGAGAATAAGAACAAAAAGGAAGATAGTGAGGAAGATTACCTTGCTAAAGACACCACCAAACTGAAACAAGCTGTCTCTTTCCCTCTCCCTTTTCTCTATAACTCACGGCTGCTACTAGGGTAGTTAAGAAAAGGATTGATATCTCACCATTAGGGTTTTATCCACCTATAATAAATTTTCAAAATGACCCCTTACTAACTAGTTTATTATTATTATTATCATTGTTATTATCATTAAGATTATTATCAATAGTCTTAAAAATTGTGGACTTCCATAAAAAAATTATTTATAGTTTAAAAATTAATTAAAGATCCTCCAAATATTTAATTTGCACTTTAGAATTTACTATCAAAATATTTGAAATTGTAAAATTATTATTATTATTATTATTTAATTATGTACTTAAATTTTTTTTTATATTCGGGTTCTCATAGCCAAAGCTGTGAGGTTTTTCACTCTCTCAATTATATCTTCGATACTCTTAGGGCTATGATTGAATGTAAAACTATTACGTTATAACCACATAGCCCAAAGAATATCCACGGATTGAATGATGACTAGGTCATCCTTCACTTGCTCAACCCAAGCCTTGAACCACTGAAAAATGGATACCGGTAACCCGATGCTAAAGTCAAGCCCCAACACTGATCCCCGCCATACCTGTTACGAAAATGAACAGTCAAAAAACACATGATCTAAAGTTTCATAATTTTTATTACACCGAGCACACACCGTTTCATCTATCATTCCCCGCCTTTTTAACTCTCATTTTACCGGAAGAATTATATGAACACACTTCCATATAAATAAAGCCCATTTTGGAGGTCACCTTAGGTGCCACAGCTTTGACCAAACCATTTGATCAGGATCTGGGTGACCAAAAAAAGGTTAATAACGAAACAAGGCTTGTTTGAAGCCTGATTTTACCGAATATTTCCCACTCTTGACGGGGCACCAAGCCAATTTGTTCTTGCAAGGAAAATTCAGAATATGAATTGCTAGAATATGCCAGCAACAAGTTTCAGGAAAAACTAGTCTAACCAGATTTTCTCTCCAACATCTATGTTCATTATCTATAAAGTGTTGTGCCTTCATAGAAGGCAACATCCGATTTGTATCCCTCCCTCTCGTTGGGTTAGAGGCCGTGGGCATCCATTGATCCTCAAAAGGCAAAATATGTTTACCATTACCTACTACCCACTGGACCCCCGTGTTTAAGATATCCATACCCCACAAAATGCTATGCCAACCCCAAGAAGAACTAGTGACTTTTGAAACATGCAAAAGAGATTAACCATGACAATAGTTTCCTAACAAAACATTAGACACCAAAAGATCTGGATTAGAAATTAATCTCCACACCGGCTTTGCTAATAAAACTTGATTAAAACACCGAAGATCCCTAAACCCCAAACCGCCCCAATCCTTTGGCAAACAAACAGGGAGGACCACTTCTTCCAACATACACTCTTGTCACGGTTAGACTTATATAAAAATTTTCAAACCAAATATGTCTAAAAAGGAGGAAGGCATTTGAAACACAGACATTAAATAGCCCGGAATATTATGTAGCACATGACTTACCATCACCGCCCCTCCCAGCAAAATTCAAGAATTCACAATTCCATCCTTGTAACTTGTTCTGAATTTTGTCAATTATAACTCTGAATGTATCTCCTTTTGATCTACCCATAAAATCTAGATTGGCACCAGGATACACCCCTGGCTTATCCACCACTTTCATGCCCAACATCGAGTCAATGCATTGTTTATCATTCGAGGACAAATTCTGACTAGGATAAAATTCTAATTTTTGAAAATTAATTCACAAGCCCGACTAATCACAAAATGCACATAAAAACCAATGTAGACACCACACTTCCTACATTTCGTACTTTCGAAAAATAAAGCAATACCCCTACAAATACCTTGATTTGACAAATGTTCAAAGCTATCTGAAAAAGCTTGCATGACCACCAAAAAAAGATTAGGCGATAGAGAATCACCCTGCCTAAGGCCAGCATGTGGTTCAAAAAATTCTGATTGAGTTCCAGTAAACAAACCGAAAAACTCACCATCGAAATACATTGTGAAATCATCCAAACCCACTTCATAGGGAAACCCATTTTTTCTAACACAGCTACCAGAAATTCCCAATTAACCTTATCATAGGCTTTATTCATATCCAATTTGAACCCAAAAACTGAATTCTGCCCAACTCTCTTCTTCTTAATATATTCAACTAGCTCATGTGCCAACAAAATATTATTTGAAATTAATCATCCTTTTAAAAACGCACTTTGATTAAAAGAAATCAAGTCAGGTAAGATGTCTCTTAACCTATTAGCCAAAACATTAGCTCCTATTTTGTACAGAACATTGCAAAGACTAATAGGCCGATAATCATTCGAAGTCAAAGGACTTTTCTTCTTAGGAATTAAGCATATGAAAGTCTTATCACTACAAGAAAATGCACATTTGGCGACTAAAATTGGTGACCAAAACAATTTTAGTCACCAAAAGTACCATTTTGGGCGACTAAAAACCTGATTTAGTCGGCATTCGTTTAATATTTTTAGCTACTAAATTAATTTAGTCGCCATATATTATTATTGGCGACCAAACTTAGCTGTAGTCGTTGTTTGCTACCATTTTGCGACAAAAAATTTTTGTCGCCAAAAGATGGGCGCATTTTTGATGAATTTATGGCAACCAAAACTAAGTTAGTCGTTGTATAGTAAATATTGCCGACGAAAAATTGGAATTAGTAGCCAAATAGGATGCTTTTGGCGACCAATTTTTAGTCGCCAAAAATGATTTTTGGCGACAAATAAGGATTTAGTCGCTAAAGCTTCGAAATTTCTTAGAGGGAAACTCATTAAAGATTCGCGCCCAGTATATATATTTCAGAGACACATTTTTTGAACTTTTTTGTCTCACACACCAACATACAGACCTCACACACCAGCAGCCGATACCGAACCTGACCGCCGATCATCACCATCGCTGGCCACCGGCGTTGGCCGATCATCGCTGGTCACCATCACTGGCCATAGGTATTTGTCTCTTGTCTCTCTCCCTCTCTGTCGATCTAGGTCTGTCTATTTGTATCTCCCATCCCCGTGTCTTTAACGATTTCTCTAGGGTTTTAAAAAAAAAATTTGTTTCATTTTCTGTTGATTTCACAAACAATTTTCAGGGCTTTTTTTGATTTCGTGAATGGGTTTGGTTAAAATTTTGGATTGCCGATTTCTGATTCTCCATTGTGGATTGTTGAACTATATGACCAAATATTCCAAACTAACCCTGTTTTAGGAAATCAGATAATTAAACTGAATGCATATATATATGACCTCTGTTTTAGGAATATTCCAAACTAACCCTATATATATAAATCTAAATAATATTCCAAACAAAAAATCATGTTCTATGCTCATAATAAAAGTTTTCATTTTGAAGAATGCGGGTATAGTCCACACCCCAGTAATTTGGAGCTCTTTTTATCAATTGAGCTAATGCTTGTTGGTAGAAATGTATCATATTATATAGGAAACAATTTCATGTTCTTTGGTTTGATCTCTCACAAGACAAGTCCAAGGCATACCCTAAACTATAAATTCAATTTTCCAGGACACTTTCTTTGCAAACTAACCCTATATATATTATTCCAAACTAACCCTATATATATAACCCTATATATATATATCTAGATTTCATAGGTGAGAAATCTAAATAATGTTTGACCTTGTTTTGTGTGTTAGCGAGAGGATCTGAGACCACAAGGACAAAGCCTCTGCAATCTAAGTAAGCTAAGGAGCTTAAAGTGACAATCCAGTTCCATTCTGCTGTGCTTTTTGGAGATTTAAGGTACCTTTTCTTTGGAAAAAATTTCCGTCTAATTTGCTTATAATTTTTTTTTTTTTGCTCTGATGATGAAAATCTTATTTATGTTGTTCCCTTGGCTCTGATGATGAAAATCCAATTTATGTTGTTCCCAGCATTTAGAACAACATATGTTTTTAATGTAATCAAACACTCAAATTTGAGAGCCCCAATTACGACTACATTATAAACAATGTTTGAGAGCCCTAATCATTTTTAAACATCTACAATTTTTACATACACTAGCATCACTTGGATGGGGTAGTCGCGACCATCCTACTATAACCTGCTGCTCATTCAATACCCCATCTCATCCATTATGGATTTAGTAGTAGTATATGGAAAAATAAAAATAAAATAACAAAAAACCTAAACAGAGGATATAACTATGGTTTACATTCAAAGCAGTGGCAACCATTAAAAGCACTAGGATTCTAGTCGCTCATATTTTAGTAGCCCGTCCTGATGATGATGACTTCCATTGTGTCCATTTAATTAGCTTCAGTTGCATACTCTAATGCCTTTAATAATGTAGGCAGAAATAGTTTGACAGAGAACCACAAACAATTTGCCTTAGGATCTTGTGAACTACCACACATCCAAAACCACATCTTGTTGATTACCCAACAATGCCCTTACATAAATGTATTGAACAGGTACTTCATGTGCCATGAATCATTTGCGTACGAGGGTCCTCTAAATAAAATTCAAAATACAAATTGTAGCTAAGTCCCCAGGATTATCAGTTAACAAATTTTCTTCTCCCTTCAGCACGGGTTAACAATATACTGTCATGAACTAAAATTATCGAAAGATGTTGCAAACATATTACAAAGAATTACAAGCAAAAAAATTGAATTTTTAAAATATGTGAATGGAAAACCTTGATGTGGATCGTAGGGAATAGAAACCAAAATGATTTACAAAATTGTAAATACATACTGACAATGAATCAATGAACATGTGACAAAATTAACTACATAGTTAAAGAGAGCAATGAATTTAAAGGGTATGCACAACTGAGGTACTAAATTAACCCCATGAAAGAAGAAATGATTTTAAAAAGTACGTACAAGACTCTAATATGTAAAAAGTCGTGATTGAAAGAATGGTTACAATAATTGTCAAGCTTTTTGTGTCCAAGTTCAACGAAATCCAACGTCAAAGGAAATAGAATGCAGAAGTTTGATTACATACGAATAAATTCAAAAAATATTACCATGTACATTCCATGACCGCAACGGAGAAACATATACATTATGTATTACAGATACTTTTTTTGGAGACATATTAGGAAGACTTGGAAATGGTGATATCGTAGGTGAGGTCATTGACCTACTTGTAAAAGCAAGATATCAATAAAATAAAATAAAATAAAAAAGCAACTAACAAGGGGGAAAAAAATAAATAAACAGAGCATACCATCAGTGCCATTGTTAGTTTCTGAATTTTGGTTTTTTGAAGCTGTTCCAAAAGGGGCAAGCTCCACCAATATTGGGTTTACAGTAAGAACAAATATTTCGTTGTAAAATGTAATTATATCAACATGCTC